TCAAGATACAAGGTACATTTATTTACATCATTTATCATTTTACAACACAGGGTTGTATAACAAATAACCACCTGTTTTCTTGCTATTCTACCCAACAGTTACTTACTCTAAGGAAAACACTTATGACCAGGGCAACACTTTTTTCCGAGTCATAAATAGTAAATATTGCAGTTCGTTGTATAGAAATGTCCCTATGCCAGCCTCATGTCCTGCAAAACTAATCTTAAACAGCCATTTTACCATTAATATTGTTATCGTACATCGTATCACTGAGGACATTTTGTTTCCATATGCTCTCGTACATCAGCCATTATCTTTGAGCTATGCTGGCCTCCAGTAGGGAGCTTACAAGCTAGAATGATTTCTCAGTGGTCTAATTCTAGAGATGCCTCATCCCTCCCTTGGAGGCACGCCCTCCAAAAATTAGAAGATGCAGACAGTGGTTCAAGCCAAAGCCCTGCTGTAGGCCAGACAACTTACAACATGTCATCTGGCAAATAACGGAGAGAGGTGGTGGTGGTGTGAGCTGTCAATGTCTATGTCACATTCTCACCCCTTCTCCACATTAAAATCATGGGATTTAGGCTACAAAATCAGTCATCTAGCTGTTAAATGTATGAACAATCTAGAAGGTGTTCTCTTCCCTCACTCCCGGGACTCAGGACCACTCTGCATCAAAACGAAGTACATATCTGCTCTGTAATGTCAGATCATCTTAATTGGATGTGGCAGCTCTGGATATAGCCCAAGCCTTCCATGCTGGTCCAAAGGTAGTTCCCTTATGTCTTTTACCAAATGGTTTTGGCTTTGAGCTGTGAATTCCTTCATATGGTATCATGATCAGAAAGTGCACAAAGAACTTGTCAGTCAGCTTGTTCTCTGCATTAAATCTTCTGATGATAATAAATAAGTGATAGTAAAGATAAACGTGAAATACCTTAAATTACATATATTCACTGCAAAAACCCTTCCAAGAGCAGTTTGCTTTACCGAAACCTTATGTATATCAGGGACAATTGAATGTCCTGAACTGCTTTTTCCATGTAGACATATTTGTAACAAAAATGACAGACAGGTCCATAGGTGTCCTTTACACTGGGGACGCTGGGGACATGCCCCCACCTCTTTTTGAAAGCATTTGTTAAAAATGTTCTGAAAATACCTTGCACCAAAATATTAACTAACAAATGAAAATGCTTTGAAAAGGTTTATTTGCATATTAAGTAAACATGCAACGCAATCTAAAGTAAGAAAAAACAAATGTGCATTGTCCAAAAAAAGTTATGATAACAAATGATGCTATATTTTTACATTTATGAATTGTCACCTCCCAGCTGATGTTTTTGTTTCCCTTTATATAAAAAAAGACATTTCCGCCATAAATCGGAGCAGAAAACGTCTTGAGAATGCAGGAAATTAAGTCTTTGTCTGGGGAAGGACCCCCATATACTTCAGCATTTCCTATTTCTTGAAAATAGTGTAAAAAATCTTCTCATCTTGTTCTCGTGCATCGTCTCATGATCTAAGTATATCATCACACCCCTAATCTAAGCACTTATCCCCAACACTTTGATGCCTGGACAGGTCTATTTAATCTTATAAAACCCACATGAATGGCACTGGTGATCTCTAAAAGGGTTGACACTCTATTGACTCTGGCACAAAAAAACAGTGACCCAGAGCAATAGCACCAGCATCCATATTCCTGTGTTTGTTGTGAGAACAAGTCTCCCATTTATTAGTGCTTGACTTGGTCCTGTCGCCAGGCAACACTATATAGAGAGGCCTTCGAATTAGTTGAGCATGAATGGACTGATGAGCGAGTCTCAAAACAAGGCTTCCCATTTCGTGGTGCATTTAAATGCTGGAGCGCCGAAACAGAGAAAAGCAGGAGAAAGACATAGAGGCACAAATACATCACAGAAAAGATTACACACAGTCATGTACTTAAACACACAGAGACTAAAGACAAGGATTGATTAGAGATAACGTAGATGCTATTCACAGTCGTTTAAATATGTGACCAAAAGATAGCAATTTTAGTAAAGTATAGAAGTTACATCAATATCCTATTCCCATCATGATGTTCCTTACTGCGTGAGTGATCACTGGAACCAAAGAGGTGTAGCCGAGAGAGTAGGTTGATGCTACAGGGAATGCTTGTGCTTAACAAATTTGTTTTATTGTGCAGCATGCTTCATACACGCACTAAGAATAGCGAGTGATGTTACTAAGGGGTTAAAAAAGGAAAACAAAACAGTATCCACCACTACTGTTGCTAAGTCGTGCTCCTAGATAGCTGACCTCTTTTGACTAAACGTGGGTCTTTCTGTCTTTTTAATGAATAAATATTCTCTTCTCCTCATGACATACACCTGAACAGAAACAAGAGGAATTTACAGTTTACTAACAAAACCTAATAATTTTTAATCTTACATTAACAAATAGTGCTATTAAGTGCTATTAATTTGTCATAGCTTGCTAACTAACTAGCCATAACATCAACTGAGTACAATAATTTAGCACATGTGTAGTGTATAATATATGTGCATTTGACGCATAACAGCACTGTAGCAGCTGGACAGAGGGTCAGTGACCTCTTGAGGGGAGAGCAGTGATTAGTGGTTGTGTAGGGACTGAACCCTTCTATAGAATTTGACCTCTGACCCCTTGTTTTGTTACCTCAGAATAGCACTGTACCCTTATATGGGTTGGAGCTTTATTTTGCAGACTCAAACCCTTCTATGGTACCTAACAGATACCTACACATATCCTATATAAGCTATGTTTCATGTACAGAGAGACAGAGTGGTCATCGGGCTGGGTCACTCTCCAAGCTGCTGCGGAGCTTGTAATTGATGCTGAACTCCTTGATGTAATAAACTTTTATGATCAAGAACAGTGTCAAGCGGATTTCTGCTCAACACATCATCGCAGCATTATTGTTCGGACACCACACATGCATAGTATTTAATTATACAACAGTCTAACACACACTGAGCACATTGGACATATACATGTTTCTAAATATGGAAATTGTAGCAGACATTCTAATTAATGAGGGCCTACAACTGTGTTTTCTTGTTGGCAGGAGTGACATATATTGATAAATGGTGAACAGTGGTGTTACGGAGTTAACAAGACACAAGGGTGGAAGAAAAATGAAGGAAGACGTGACTTTAATGATAGAACACATGGACGGGGCTGAATAGCTCTTTATAACACAGTGAAGCCTCCTAAAACTGGTCCATTATATGACTAGTCCGTAAAGCCGTATGAAGGCTTGCATACCAAAGATTTTTTTTAAATGAATAACAGCCAGCCAGGAGTATAATTATTTTTGTTGACATCTTTATGCATAAAGATAAAAACAATGCCTCAAACATTTTAATGAAGGCATCAGTCAAATTCAGTGTGTAACAAAAACAGCTGGGTTTAGGTCAACTGACTTTCAACAAGAACATTTTTCTTTGAAAACCATCTGCATAAACAGGCATTTTCATGAAAAAATAAGGAAAGTGAAGTACCAAAGTGAGCAGCCAAAACTACAAATGTACATTTTGAAAGATTGTTACACAGTCTACACTATTACAATATTACATCTAGATAACATGGGCAACCTATTACATCAATGTCTGTCTCAAGGCTTACCGGAGTGCAGCCTGTATTGAAGAGTGGCTAGAAACCATTTTTCTTCTGCAACTGCGGAAAAACAATCCCCTGCAGCCCACAACATCCCTGTCTAAATGTGTGCTATAACAGCATTTGTCTGGCTGGCACACTGAGGAGTGGGTGTCAGCCAAGTAGGCCGGTGGGCTGCCCATTGCTAAAAACATATTACATCTTAATCAATTTTTTTGTTGTTGTTGTTAACTAGGAGATAGTGAAATTGTAATTGAATCTCAATTAGTTTAAGATAACTTTTTGTAATGGATGACTGCTGCAGTAGTTAATGAAAAGAAAATGTGATAAGACTTTCAGTTACTGATCAGATGCGGCCTCAAAAAATTTCATCAGAGATCTCATAAAAGCATCAGTTTCAACATACTGACAGATGTACAACAGATGTAGGTCAATACCTCCACCTGTGAATTCACGTTATTTTGTCATTAGTTATCCGATTATTTAAAACTAATGTTTCATTGTAATTCTTAGGTAAATCAGTAATGAGCCGGAGTCTATTTGTTGGCTACATCCTCTGTAAAGTGAGCCAGATGCTTGTCACGCTTGCCGTTTAATCTTTGGCTCGAGCTCAAATCGCTGTCCGCGGTCCTGAAGCGGTCACACACGTCCACATGTCCACAGTCAGTCAGTAATAAACGTCCAACGAGCGTGGTGTTAAACAAAAATGTAGCCGAAACTTCACGTCTCTATTGGTTTGGAACTGGTTTTAGTTATTTACATATGTGCATGAAGAGAACAGCTCTGTCTCTCCTTCTCTTTTTACATTGTCTCTCGTCCTAAAAATGAGCAGCTATGTCACACCACTTTCACTTTCTTCAAACTCCAGTGCATTATATCTCGATCCCAGTTTTAATTAGGCTTTAGTAACAGAATCGACTTTAGCTTCTCGTGCGTCTAAACTTGCACATTTCTGTGTTGAAGAGGGGCGTCAGAAGGCAATGGTACTAGTAGATACACATCATTAAAGTCAGTTAAAACCTGACTTTCTTCTTTCTAAATTTGATCAAACGAACTGCAGCATAATGTTTTGCCTCTTGTCAGAAAAAAATAGAGGAGACTCCACTCCACGTAGAAATGTTAATAAAGTGAGTGAAGCAGTTTAGCAGAAGCTTCCACGCCGATTGTGAGTGCAAGGAACTTGTCTACTTTACAAATGAAGTATTCAAACAAGCCGCAGGCATGTAAAACAGCAAACAAAACATTCACTGGTATCTGCGAAACCATCAACAGCGCGTTTATCTGCGCAAAATGTCGACTGTGACACGTATCTTTACAAAACGCACTTAAAAACACCCACAGATAAAATTATTTTTTACCTTCACGGAGAAGACTCGTCGAGCACAGTACTGTTCTTATTCTTCCTCTATTCTTTCTCCTCTTGTTTCTCCCAGTTCAGTCGGTCCGTGTTGTGTAGTCTGGGGCTTGGCGCGCAATATTCCTGTGTTGCTGACGGGACCCAAGGCTGCGTAGCTCGCGCACCACTACTATCCACGCGGTACTAACCATGTGGCACGTAGCGCCCAACTCTGGAACTCTGTACTCCACCTCTCTTGAGGTGTGCAGAGGACAGGGGGAGATGCTGCGTGCATGTGATGTGGTAATACCAGTTTGAATGAATTTATGGTTCAAACCAAATGCAACCTTGAAAGCGCCATATGCAGATGTTGGCTTTGGTAAACTTATTTGCTTAAAGTCAAACACTGAACTGCTTCATGCTCACATTCATATAATGTCCTAAAATGCTAAGCATTTATTTAATGCATATTGTATATTATTATATCACAACATGCAACCCGCTTTCAATTGTTATAGTAACTCTTTTATGCTATAATCTGTCTGTTGCTGACTCTGATGGGAAGTCTTTTTGGCAGTTGTTGCTTCTTTTTTCCTTCTTTTTTCCTTCTTTTTTTACCATATTCCCTCAAATTCTTCCCAGTTGTTTCTGCCCCTTTGCATCTGCTTCACCACTGAGACACAAACTGTGAAGGGGAAATTCTACCAAAGAAGAAGAGCCTCTAATAGGATCATTCAGTGTCTTTTTTGTTTTTATTTGTTATGCCACTCCTCAACAAAATAAATCTATGTAACATCTGGTTCATACTTCACATGGAGCAGATGTGTAGAGTCTGTCACGTTTCCACTTGAGGTCAAGAGCCTTCAGTAATTCCAGAAAACATTGACTGGACAAATTAAAGATGTAGCCTCCCAATGCAATAAACCACTAGCACTTGGTCACATGCTCAGGACAGCACAGATTCATAAAGGGCTGCTGTCAGACTGAATTCAGCACAACCCATCTCTGAGCATATGGACATTCATTTGGTCATTTAAGAGCATCTGGCGAAACCCATGCACATGTATGACTAACCACCACATTCTGCTCCCGTCTGATCACAGGCAGGAGTGAATGAAGAGGCCGTCATCAGCTTGGCTCTGACTTGGTCTTTCACATAACCTCTCACTGACCTCACAGGAAGGAAATCAGGACCAATTTCATTCAATTTTTCATACATTTCACTATTGTACACGGTTTAAAGGTTAGTGGCATCTAGTGGTGAGTTCTGTATACTTCTTTATGTCCCATGCACACTTTAATTCTCTTTTTGCAATGCAGATTTAGAAGAGAAAAGGAGAAGCTACAGCTAAATAATACTTGTGGGCCTCCATTTGGCCAAACTTCTCTTTTTTCCTTACTTTTAATAAACCAGTCGACTACCACTACTAATGTCACTTGTTGTTGTTGTTGTTTTTAGTACATACTCAACGTAGTGACGAAATGCGCTCTGTAAAGCAGTTTGTCCATTTGGGCTACTGTAGAAACAGGGCAGCGCAACATCGCAATGTCCATGTAAGAGGACCCGCGGTGAATGTAGATAGAAATGGCTCATTGTAAAGTAATAACAACATTAGGGTTCATTATGTAAGGTCTTTATACACCTCTGAAAATATAGTTTTTGTATATTTTATTGCTTTTCTGTCTGACCTTCTGTCTGATCCTCCTAAATATTACACACTGCACCTTTAAGGAAATTTATTGTCTCTTCTATTTTCTCCTCTGTTTTGACAATCAAACAACTTAAAAGCCAACAGCAAAACTCAGGCTCCTCCGTCTGAACACTAAAATTATGCATGAACTTTTCTTGGCATCCTTTAGGTATTTGGAAAATACTGAGCACTTGCTGATCAGAGCAAGGTGAAGTGGGAATTTCTTAAAAGTTTTAAAAGTTGAAAACACCATGATAGTGTAAATTGTAGGTTTATGGTGCAATTTAAGTGCAAAAAAACCTTTGTACATCCCTATCTCTTGTCTACAAGAATGTGGACTCAATTTGGACACAATTTTGACTGCATGACAAACTCAGAAAAACACGGTCCTATCATTGTATTTCTCCATCTCTTTACATAATGCAAACAAATCATTCAGTCAGCTTCTGTAATAGGCTACTGTTTTAGTCATGATTCACAAAGATGCTAATGTGTATCAAACCGTGGTGGATGGTGCATCTATTTTACTTTAGGTCAGAACACCTCTCATAACAAAGCAATATGGTAGTATATGACTTAGCCCTAGCAGTTTCCTAGCAGATGGAGTTATGCTGAACATGTGTGCATATGCATGTGTGTGCATTTGTCTGTTTGTGCAATAGACAGAAACAGTGAACTGAAACATATAGGTGTTAAACCAAAGCTCACACACCAGCTGGTACCACGGTCAACATACTGCCAAGCTTTCTCTAATCACATAGCACCAATGCATTGTCTGAAAACACGTGAAGAAATAAACGCAGTATTTATCTGCTTGACAACAATGTTATAACCCAGGAGTGAAGAAATACAGTTTTTGGTCTAATTAACAAATTGTAAATTAAGATATATTAATTAAATACAATTGGAATGATTTTCTGATGCATAATATCACATTCAGTGACTAGCTACATGCTCATTTGACATTCAAGAACAGTAGAGCAAGGATTGAAAACTTCTTCTAAGCCACCATATAGGACATTGGCTGCCTGCCAGCAAGGAGCCCTCATTTGAGAAAGCATCACTAAGATGTATGAACGCTATCAAGTGAGTTGTGAAAAGCCTGTAGATATAGTGGCTGGTATTTTGTGACTAACAAGATGAGAGTCCAAAAATGGAGGAGAGGTCAAGGTTGGAGGAAATTAGTGGAAAACTTTGCATGATCAATACAATAATGGGGGCCAGCGGTAAGAACTGCAAACTATTTTTACCTCTCTTTGTTTCTTTGTGGGATTGAGAGAGCGCCTCACTATGAATGCTAAGAGAATAACTTTCCTTAGATTGTCCTTTACCTTTTTTCTCCATTTTTTGAGCATTACAGTTTATCTGTCAAACTCCAAAATCTGTCTACAGTAGAGAACACTTTCTCCCTGTTATGTACATCTTATACTTTGGAAAACACACAACAGGATGCTACTGTATGAGAAAAAAAACAACAGACATCATAATCTATTGCTAAAGCAAAGCACTGCAATTGTCTTCTGTTTCATGAAAATAAAAAATCTGTTTGCTTGAGTTTAAACACTTTTTCACTGGAATGTTATGATGGCTATTTAGTAAGGCGACAGTATAGCCCTTCAGTGAGCGAACGGGCTCCACATAGATCATAGATCCTATACTTGCTTGAAAGGAAAGCCCCGGGTAAGAGCACACCTTAATGTAGGTGAAATCTAGCGGAGATCTTGCACCATCAGTCATGCCTTGGACAACCAGCTTGTGATGCTCCTCAGTCCAGGTGTGCCCTGATGACTTCTGACAGCAGTGAGTGTTACAATATTGTCTTCGATCACTGACACCCTTCTGCCATCACGAGGACTCAAGCTCAGCCATCCAACTAATCATGCAGCCTGGAACATACACACAATCGCCCAACCACACCCCACAAACTCACACTTCTGCTTATGCACAGATCCATATAAAAACACACTCTCACATGCCACCTCACGCATACTGTAATGTGATCAGAATAGGCCATGTAAACACCTACAAGGGTAAACAGGACAGACTAGTATGTGGAAAAAACTATATGTCTACTACTGAACATACTGCCCTGAAAATAGCACACATTGTTGTGTCTTGTGTGCAGAAATATCACATGAACACACAAAATGTATAGTGTTGAAATCAAGGGAAAGCCAAAGGAGGCTAAGCTGTCTTAGTTCAAGTTTTGTGTGTCACAAAAAAGTGCCAGTGTCTCCACCAATAAACAAGTATGTATTATTTTAATTACTTCAGTGACCTTGTCTTTTTGGCTAACTTTTGAAAGAGAAAACAGTGACAGTGATGTGTCACTGTAACGCCAGGTAAAGCCACTGAGACATCTCTCAACATAGATCAACATCCGCCTTTCAAAGTTGAGGGGAGACGCAACATCTGCACCAAACTGTAGCATAAGAAAGCCTACATTATGTTTAATATAGCCTAATGTGTTGATTAAGTTTTATAGTCACCGTGGCAAATAAAAAACACTCACTTGCAGAAGTATGGATCTCATTTCCGTTTTTTTTATTTGCATTATCATACATTAGGTACAAATGACACAATCGGTTACAAGGTAAGCTCAGACACATTTTAAAGGTTTCAGGCTGACACGGAAGGAAACAAACATACATACACCATTGTCAAAATACAATATATTCTTTCTTTTACAATCTATGTAGATCTATGCAAGTCATTTATGTACAAGGACAGGGGTACTGCAATGATAAATGGACAAAGAGAGGAGAGTTGGAGACCTTGTTATTGTGTGGGTTAAGGAATAAGGCATTCCTGCACATCCTTGATCCTGTGCCCTGTACAGCCAAAAAGATGGCAGCTCACTTCAACTCTCTCATTTCACAGTGAACAGAACGCAGCGGAGAGTAATGACTAACTGCAAAGAAGAAAGAAATTAAACAAAATTCATCTAAAACAAACAGGTACCTGAAAGGAGTATATTAAGAAAGGCCAATTGGGAAAAAAACAAATCATAACAGATTTCTCTCAAAACCTTACATTTAAGATAAAATTTTTACACCAGAAAGTAACTTCATGTTTTTCTGGCCATCATAATCTATTAAATTAAAAACAAAAGAGGTGATGACATCAAACAGAATGTAAACAAAAAACCCAAATACATTTGGCTAACTCCTTTTCCAGGGTGCATTAGTGGGACCAATAGAGCAGTTGAAAGGGTGGAATTGATGCCACTGTGTTGAGTGAATTGCACAAGAAAAATCAGCTGCTTTCCTGACCTGATGGGATTTAAAGGGTGAAAAGAGGAGGACACTGTCGATAAGATCACGGATTGACTTGGCCCAGGCACTGAGGAAAGAGGAACAGGTAGAGTGAAAGAGAGGGAGTGCAAGAGATGACGAGGGAGGGTGGTTCAATGTGACGAGGCACAGATGTTGTCCTACAAGAAAACCATAATCATATATCCTTTCACCATTTGACTTAACCCCTTCTATCACCTGTTCATTGTTCCTTCACCTCCCGAATATCATCCTCTGATATTGTGATACGTATATTAGTTAA